TCTGAGCTGGTAGTTTGTTCCTGCAGTCTGCATATGGGATGGAACAAGTGGGGAGGAGAACAGGGGTGCCGGGTGCAGGACAGGTCCGTGAAAGAGCTTCTGACTTACCTCTTAATATATTCGTCTAAAACGGGTTTATGGGTGAGTCCATGACTACTCCGTTCGTTTATCTATGCGTAGTGTTGTCAAGCATGAACTACACGACCAAAGTACACCTCAATAACAATTCCTCGAGGAAATTCACTGACATTCCTATATCCTGCTGAATAGCGGCAATTAAATCACAGAGGTGTTTTATCTTTTCCGAGACCGGTGCGTTTGCGAAAAGTCAAGACACACCTCACGTAAACATAACCACTCCGTTTGGATTGAGGTTTTCACTAAATTCAAAGTTATGCTGATAGCTATGTGGAACTATTTGATCCTGCAGAAGTTTCAGTATCTTCGCTAGTCATTTTGCTATCGCATGACATGGCGAGTTCCTCATCTCGAGGTTTGTATGAACCGGTGTACCATCTTTGTTGATTTTCGACAAGTCGTTTAATCGAGGTTTATGCGTGCTGTCAGGTCACAGACACTTAATGTCGTACTCACTTATGAAACCATCCGTTTGAAGTGTTTTCATGCAGTCAGTCAGCTGTGCTTCGATCTGATCTGTACGGTATGGCGAGAATCTCAGCTTGAGGATTGGATGAACGAGTGCCTCAGTATGATCTGTACGATCATTCTCTTTTTTTCATTTCGGAGATTTGCCTTATCTGACAGAATATACTGTATGTTTGTAATGTATTCTGCCCTGCCCACCTAAATGGTGCCAGTTCCCTTAGCTGGCCTAACTACAAGAATATCATTGTTCTGTCGGATTTGCTTTAATTACTCCATGTGACGTCGTGGGAAAGCCCCGATATTTCTGACAACCAGGTCGTATGCTTGATTCACGAGGTCCTCGTAGGGCGTTTCCAACCCTAGCTGATTGGGATTCCGGGCAGGACGGCAAAATACGGTGCCCAGCGATGATGCTTCGATCAAAGATATATCGAGAGAGACGAATAATTGTTTACGTACCGAAGTGGATCATCAGGAACCTTCGATTGTGGTGTACATTCGTAAATATACCGAAAGGGGGAAACCATCTCGATTTCTCCACGTTCATCCTAAAGGGACTGCACATAATTCTATAATCCCTATCTCACTTCTACGACAAGTGGTGGCTAGTGGCCTTTCTTAAGTTCATTTGCGGCATATTTCCTCAAGGTCTCACAGCTAACAACCGTGCGACACCCTCGCATTGCTCTCTAGCAGGTTATCCTAATCACTATGTCGGTCTGGCCGTTATTATCATAGCCGGTCTACAATGACGGCGTTCTAACTGTAATATCATACGTTTAGCTTGAAACTCTGAGTTAATATCAGGAATGAATGTTTGTAACACTAGACTGCACGAAAATAATACCCCACATAACCAAAATCGGTAAGGGTTTTGATTTTAAAAGAGCTAGTTAATTTTTACTCTTAAGTATTGCGCCCTAATAATGAAGAAAAGCCAAACTCACCGGCCGTAATATGATAATTTCGAGAACCGAAAATCGAGCCTTACACCGGAAACGCTGGGCGTTTTTTAACGCCGTTAAGTAAACACAATTTGTAACTGAGTCAATTTCGAGAGTTTCTAGTCGAAATTCACATCCTTTTCTACCATCCATAAGATGACGAAGAGTGGTTGATTTCCAAGTCAAAAGCCCTTTGACCCTGACCTCCATAGCTGTACGATTGTCAAAGAGAGAACATGTACGTTCTCCATGTAAAACTGAAAAAGATATATTGGCGAAATTTGGATGCGTCTTAGACTATAAACAATATTTATTGCACTTCAAACAAGACTCAAAATATGAGAAGACAAAGTAAACACTACGCAAGTTTCTTATGTCTACTAGAATCTAAACGCGTTTCTGTCCCTTGGTTTATTTCTCACCAATGATTAATGTCTACGAAAACTGCAAATAAAAATAACTTGTTCTTCGTTTATGGTAAAGAAATCAATGCGAACTAAATTTAGCTTGTTGTCCCCTATACTATGCAAACCATCTTCCATTTGATCAGCTGTTTATGAAAAAAGTAATTGTAGCATGTAATGCCAGATTCTCACATTTACAAGCAAGTGCACTTTGAATACATAATGCCAGCATATAAAAGTGTGTCATTTTGTATTTTGATTGTTCTGCTTGCGCATTTTTATAAAATCACTATCGAAAAAATCCGCCAATAGTCTCACTTTACCTACGTTCGACAAGGTAAGTGGTTGCTGAGACAGTTGCGGTCAATGAAGACCAGGGTTGGCTACTTTTAGTTATCGGGCTGTGTTTCTTATACACCACAGATGGTAATGGAATAAACTGCCGATACAAGCGTAGATGCGAATTATAGGAACAAGTTAATTTTATCAAGACTTATTGCCCGCTGGTACGCTAATTTCTTGATGGACGGCATGCCAGTAGTTAATTGCTGAAATCTCATCGTCAGTGTTGGATGCCGGCATGGTGATTGGTTGGCCATCTGGCTCACCAGCCTGCCCATTCCCCGAGAGGTTTTTAAATTTGCCCAGACTATGCTTCAGCACCGAATATGCAGTCAGAATGTCGTTTCCCTTGTTGATAGACTGGGGACCCGAGAACCATGACTCAATAAACTCGGGGATCACGCGACTATCGTATCTCACGAGAATTTCGGCATCGTCGAATTGTAATGTATTGGCAGGTTTCGTCGGATGGGCTGCGACTTGAACGTTGGTGTCATTTCTTCGCACCGCTGGAGCGAGTTCGTCGATTTGCGTCCGAACCAGTCTTTCAGTTTCTCCGATGTGGTTTCTTTGCCCCCAACTGCACCAGATCCGATATAGGACACACAGATGTTTGTTGTTGTGGCAGTGGATCTTGTGATCTTAACACTTGACTCCTTATAGTGGCCTCCGGTCTGTGTGAACTATAACCCTAAGTGGTGCGTGGAAGTGACTGACGGCCTCGGAGACATTCATGATGCACGGCATCGTTCGTAAGAATTTATGGTCGGTACGATTTTTTCGTTCGCCTCCTTGAGGAGATTATTGCACCGGATGTTGCCCTTCCCGAGAGGTGTAATTACTTTGACGAAACTATGCCTCAGCATAGAAAAGAGAGTGGTAATGTCTTTGCTGAGACTTACGATAGACACAGGCAACTTGCGATTCACTCGATTATCATCTCCCGTGAGAATTTCGGCCTAACCAAACTTGCATCTGTGGCCGTGTTTCGTCAAATGGGTCGCAGCTTGAAATTACAGCAGGTAACGACGCGAATGTCGACCATCAAACAGTCATCACACCAAGTCCAACGATCCCTCTTGATTGGAGAGGGGTAGGGGTTAAGTAAGCCGCGCATTTTCATAGGTATGCAGTAGCATGGCGACGACATCCTATGAATGCTGCAGCCCCTTCCATAGGTCAGGAGCAACAGCAGTATTCGGTATCCGGCTCAATATATGGCAGCATACCTTATGATATGTTAGCGTCCACATCTAAACTTGCATAGTTTAGGATAGTTACGGAACGATCGCTGTAGACCCACCCTACTTTTATTACCATTCGCATAGGCATCCGCAGCTGAGGAGCGACCGCTGTAGTGCGTATTCTGCATAATCTAAGCTAGTAGACTACAGGATACTTGAAAAGCAATCACCCTAGGCCACTTTATGCCATGCGTGCCACACCTGTGCTACCTACATGGGCACAATCCATTGACATCCATCACATACACAACCAACGAACATATTTATTTTGACCGAGGGGCACACGGGCTCACCGACCACATATGCGATCTAGTGCTCCGTTATCGGGCGGCTACACCTATGGACACACCGTCCAAATTCTTTCTGCCTTGAGAAGGGACTTTCCTGGTTGCAGACGACATATCACGCACTAATTTCACTTTCCGCGACGCCCACACTTGCGTCGGCGGAACCATCACTGTGCACTTGTATAATTTAACACCTTATCACGGCAATCTCCGCATGGCTTTGTAGCGGACATGCAAGAGGTTACATGAACAGACGTTACAATATGCTCTCCATCGCCTTGACCTCATATGTGCTTCGGAATATACCACATATACTAACGTTAATGTACCTTATTTCAATAAAAATTTCACATCACACTGGATAGGTCTCGGCAATGTCGGACAGGAAGAGTTCCCAGGCGTCCTTAAGTCCCATGGCATTAAGACCGAACCACGGGCGATATTGTACTTCGACAATATTGGCTCAGACGGCACGACCACATACAGGGCCTGCTTTGAGGAGTTTCCTTTTCAATCGACTCCAGTAGGCCTCAATCGCATTGAGGACACCGAAAAATAAAACCGTCAGAAAACCGAATGCGAACTTGTAGTTTCATCCATTGATTTCACTTGCGCATCTTTTGCTTTGGACACAATCCTCTTCGTTGACAAGATTCGATCACATCTTCCGAATTCATATCGTCCAAAATTTCTTCGGTCTTGCTTCTACGCGTTACCGCAGTACGAAGAATCGGTTTGGCCATTGCTTCTACGGATCTACAAAAGTAACAAACCATTACTTCCCTCAAAACTACCATTTATAGACAATTAATAATAATTATAATCATTCATATTATTTCCATTGCAATTGCTATGGAAACATAATGCGTCTGCATCAAATCAACTACATACTATTGCGTGGTTGCTTATTTTTCAAATATGGCCCATTGCCATTAGCCATTCAATTACTTTATTGCTTACAGAGGTGATTTCCTTGTTACGGTCAATGCTCGTGAGGGAAAAGACAGCATAGCGTTATCAGCCTTGGGAAACACGTACACTAACTTTGGGTGTCGGCAGCTCACACACCTACCCCACCACCGCCCCATTGGCGGAGGATGCCTTGGGCGTCTGATCTGTCGTGCTCGATTGCCTGGCGGATTTCTTAAAATGGTTTACGTTTACAGCACTGCTAAATGTTTACTTTTCATTCGCCGCGCGCATTTTCTGTTGCTATATAGCGATAAAGTAAAACTTGACAGCTCGAAAAGCAAATTTTCCAACAATTATTACTTTTCTTGGATATTATCCACGCATTCATAGGCCCACCCAAAAAACCCCTATTACCACCTGTCCCGTAAGACAGGCTACTTTGGTTGGCAGTGTTTTTTTTTGGTGGCATATCCCGCTTGTCTGGTCTCAGTTTGCGCATTTCGGACACATCACAGGTTAAAACTTGTATTCTCCATACTCAGTCGAAGGACTGCAGGCCGTGCGATGGAGGTCATTTCGGACAGAGTCATTTAATTAGAACAGTGCCGGTATAAGAGAGGAAAGTAATACATTGGCATTGCGATCGGCAAAATTGTCCGCCGTCGTTAAAAAAAATAATTGTTACGATATTGCATCGAGGAGATCGACACAGAAAACCGTCTTAGTGTTTGAAGATTACATGCGACCGCTTCATCAGTATTACCAAGCCATTCGCTATCACTGAGCAATCGTCGTTGATTAATGTGAAGTTGAAAGATGTATGCCGAAAGAGACTTGAAAACAGAAATATATGCATATGCGATTTTAGTAGACTAGCGCTCACCGATCGCGGTGAGGGGCAAATACGTCCTTGGGGTTCAATGTCGAACCTCGGCAGCATCCACACGGCAGCAAGTAATGTCTGCCGGATGACATTATCTACAAGTGCATGGGGGACTGGAATGGCCATTTCTGGTTTACTGGCCATCAACAGTCTGCATATCTGACGCCAGACTCTGCGACCACTGAGAAGAATTATAATAACTGGGGGAGGACAAATTAAGTGGACATTTGGGCAATAGGGAAAAATTGCCAATTATAAATGTAGTCAAAAAGTGGTTAATTAATTTCAGAAATACGCGCAGATAGTAATCGATTAGAAGATACTGGTTAGTTGAAGAAGAAGGAAAAGATGAACTCACCGGAATATGTGTGTTGGGATGCTGACGTTTCGAAGAGCTAGGTCGGCTCTTCATTTTTAAAACGTAAAATGCACTTAATCGACCAGAAATCCCAAGTGGCGCGTCACGTTGGTCGGCATCGTGCTGACCGATTTTCATCTCTCGCTGCGTCGGCCACTCGGGGCATGGTTGACGGACGTCTTGGCTGCGTGCTTTGTTAGTTACCACTCTGTCGGGGGGAGGTGAGTGAACCAGTGTCGGGAGGTCGGTCTGACGGTTCTTTTTCTTCCTCACCGAGCAAACTCGCCGTCGGGCTGTCTCCGTATGGCTATTTAAAGTCCGAGGTAGTTTTATGGTCCTGCGTTCTACGCTTGTGGTGACGTAGGACTTTGTAAGCTGCAGGAAGATCCAGATGCCTGTTGATGGAGTTGGCATCAGAGAACCATGCCTCGAAAGTAAGCCGTTCTGCTTTCGTGTTGCCCCGGCCTAAGAGGGTAGCTCGCTGGAGACCGAAAGTATGTCCAGTTTCTCCGGCGTGTGTTGTTGATTGAGAGTTTGGGTCTAATCTGCGAGTAGCCGGTTTGTGCTCATGTAGGCGAGTTTGGTTAGTGTTCCAGTTAGTGACCTAACTCATGAAATGTGTCGACATTTACGAATGATTGTCAATCACTCGCAAACCGACACCATTTCATGAGTCCGATTTTTATGTTAACTAAGTACAAGTTTAAAACAATCAAAAATATAAAAGAAATATTAAAGGCAGTGTTCCGTTGTTTAAAACCGTCGATTTATTTTGAAAAGCGCAATATCCCGAAAACGTCAAAAATGGCTCTAATTAAGTAAAGTTCGTTTTTAGATGTATACAATGTATTCTCATACCAAACAGTAAATATGGAATTAGACATAAAATAACGTCCAATAGCAGTGTTATATTGAAGTTTACATGTAAATATCGTTTAGTAAGTAGTGTGATTTCAAATATGACGGTTTGCAAACTGCCTACATTTTGGGTGTAGATTTCAAAACAGTTTTCTAGTGAGTCATGTTTTTTTCATTTGTTTGAAGCTGGATTTTGCTTGATTTCACAGATGGGGACGCCTTAGGAACAAAAGTTTTCATAAGGTGACATGCCATGAGGCTGGTCGGTGCCTACCAAATTTAAACAGAACTGACAGACGTGATCATAAACATACCATTTTGTGTTTATAGAGAGAACGTTTCTTCCGTTCGTTCGTTTGTTTTGGATTACGTTGAGTTGCAGTTCGGCCTCCAAATGTTGTTGAAAACTACATGATTTTCAGTGTTTTTACCCGATCTTCATAAAGACAGATTCTGAATTACCGGTCTGTTGAGAACTTTGAAATGAGATTGTTCTTGAAGGCATCTACCTAATTAATGAGTTTTCACGCGCTCATTTTCACGAAGATGGTCGTATGTGCCACATGTGAAGACTCATTCAAACATCAAACTTCATTTTCGAGAATAATGACTGTCCACAACGCAAGTCACCAACGAATATGCCTTGGATCAATAAAAAAACTTTCCTTAATAAGTTACCTCTTTAAAATGTGCTTTATTACTGCACCTTGTTGATGGATCTCTGTGTACCATGCATTTTTGCACGGTGAGGCCAAGTAAAAATTAGACACTTTTCACCGTTTCTTTAGCATCCCTACGAAATACTTCTATTTTTCTACCGTGAAAGTAATAACATGCCTTTGTCTATACATTGAGGCCATTTCCATTGTTTTTGCTCGCTTTTAGGCTTCCTTTTTCGATTATGAATATACGACAGAGCGCCCATATAAATACTGATATTTTGATGAAACTATTAAAGTTTTGCTCGTTCTATTTATGAATAACATATGCACAGAAACTGAACTACACGACAAGTAGTGTTTCATATGGTGAAAGCTAGAAATGACCATTCCGTGGTGGTCATCTATGTTTCCAAACGGCAAAAAAAATTTCAGCCCACTTAAACGAAGGAATCCCTATCTGCGATATTACTGCACTTTAGGTCACCAAATCCCACAGATATGCTAATTTGGCATTTAGAAATTAATGAATCATCTGGTTTTCTTAAAATCACCTTTGTCTTAGCAAGCTGAACACCATTGTTAACAGTTAAATCTTTTTATTAAAACTCTCAAGGGTAAATTACTATCCGTTTAATGAAAAAGTCGCTCATTTGCGTAACCGGAGTCTAGGACGTGTATTAGCATAGGAAATTGCCCAAATATATTCCAACGTCCATTTTCCCTAGAATTTACTGATATTTCACCTGATATAATTACGTCAACATAATTTATGCAAAGGAAAAGGACATTCTATTGAAGGAAGTGGATGAGCGAACAAAAGGGTCAATGATAACGGCGTCCAGGACTTCTCTTATCAGTTTCCGTTATAAGATTTCATGAGATAGGTCACGTACTGTATGTACCTTTGCGTTATGCACATTCACTTGCAGTTTGAAAACAATTAATTGAAGCAAGTATGAACAAAGTTCAAGTATTGTTCAAATGCGTTTGACGCATAGCAAGTAGGCACAGACTTCCAACTCAAACTACCCCTTTGCTTGCTCCTGTGAAGCAGACTATATTTGTCGTACGAGGCGTCGCCTATCTACAAGAATATGAGAACACCCGCAGGCATGCCTGAAGAAGGGTAAAATAAAGAGCATATGTAGCTCCATCATCGGACACAAGATGGATTCGGGGTATCGAATGGACATCAACGAAGCCTTCCGTGCGATTTACCATGTCCCACCTAACTGTCGCAAGCGACTGGATCAACGCTTATTAACAACAACAGAAACGACTGCCGTCAGATCACGGAGGCCGGTCGTGTTCGCTCAGAAGAACTGCCTGTACGCTTTGCGTCAAAGATCGATTTCTCCGCTTCCCGGCCCCCCTCTTCCACTTCGTGACACAATTTTACCTAGCCATCACAGCCACTTACTGCCATTTCTCCCTTCCCCCATATTAACACAGTCCGATTGCGTGAAATGCCTAACTGTACACGATTTCGCTCATCACTCATACGTTTTAATCTGTACCTCGTTCCCACATATGAGATGAGAATTTATCGAAATGACGCGTGTGCTCGCCAAATGCTTTTCCATATTGCATCATGGAAATTTTCGCAACTTTAAAACAGTCCAAAGGCACAGTCCAACAGGCACATTAATTAACTGACCACCCAGGGTCAGTACGACTTGAATAAATAGCTGATCTTAAGCAGCGAAGACTGGCAGATTTCGAGCCCCCCCTGAATTTCTAATCAGGGAAGTGTTTATGTCCCATCTGATAGGCTCACTCTGTGGACCACATGCGCCGATAATGAACTCTTATTCGTGACTTTTATTCTGATTGATGGCTAGATATTTAATTACCTAACTGAAAGCAAGGAAAGCTTGAAACGGTTCTGCGTCAACCTACACCCTTTCTCCGAACTTATTCCCTCGCTATCATAACTCGACAGGAATCGCTTTTTCGCTATCTTAGTCACTCTTTCGAGATAAGTTTGCATCGGAAAACCAGTGAATCGCTGTATAGTCATCCAGTTTCAAATATATGTCGTACGTGACCTATCTCATTTACCCAGTCTAATCAAGGAAATGTATGTTCCTTGTGCACAAAATGCGTCTGCTTGTTATGTTTATGCTTATTGGTCATAAGTGTGAGCGCGAGCATGGACGTTGAGATACATTTTGACAACTACCTATGCCGATACCTGTCCTTGAAATAGGTTACGCATCTGCGCGTCGTATGTTGATTGTTGGATAGTTAAATTTCAGATTTTTATTAAACAGAGCTTGTCCCACAGGAAAATTTACTTTTGTCTGACGATAACTGTAGGAATCATTTTGGCAACAC